TCGCCATAAAACATGCATATTAGTACATAATGCATATATTGCAGAAATGATGATCAATTAAAATTGAAATGAGGATCCAAGACACCAAATCGGGGGAAACTTTAATATACATACTCTATTAACTAATTTAAACGTACATATGTTAAAGATACTAGGAGGCCTTTAGTAAACTTGATTTCTCTAGTTTTCTTTGATATCATAAAATCTAAACATTAGCACATATTTTGTAGAAATTCCTAACATTATTGCCTTCTCACCAAAATTTTCAAAAAAGGAGAAACAATCCTGATCCCGCAAGCCCCTTATATTGAAAGAGTAAGTGTATACTTTTTGTTGAATGTCTTACGCTGTTATGCATATTCATAGACTAATCCAAATGTTCTACAGTGACCATCTAGATGCCACATCCTTTTGTCACTCTTACGTATGTGACATGCATTTCAGGCCACTAATCTTTGTCCATTATGATGCATGACACCTGCCATAACTCTCACTTTGACCGATGAGGTGTCACGCCTCATACCTCTGTTTATGGTGTGCAACATTTATCACATGCACTTCTTTGGAGGCTAAGGCTGTCATGTGGCAAAAAGTCTTCTAGATGTTTCCATTGTATATCCCAACAAATGTGGAATAATTGCAACTATCTGAACTATTTTATATCCCAACAAATGTAGAATAATTGCAACTATATCTGAACTATAGAACCGACAGAATAAGTGTATCCACTGTGCTGCAAAATTCCTAGCATTGGCCCAAATCTTCTCACCAACAAATAAGAATAGTTCTTCTCAGATACAACCATAAATTTCCTATACTTGTTTTCTTAGTTTAATGTGAGCAAAGAATTATGGCATCAACTGATCTTCTTATAAGCCACTAGTTCTACAAGTTCTGCTATTATGCCGACAAATTGTCGAAGAAAATATATATAATGCTTACAAGTTAAGTGATTTCCACTAAAAAAATTCACACAGATCGATAAGGGAGACGGTAACAAGGGGTGTACATAATGATTAGCTTCATCACAAACTCTAAAATCATAGGACAGTTCACATTTTAATTTCAACCCCATAATACTACTTGCACAGGATGTCAAAACTTATAACAGAACAATAGTTAAGTGAAAGTTTCGTACTTTTCTTTGGTAGGCTGTATGAAATATATGGCATCCATGGCTGGTAATGGTTGTCTTCGCTTGTGTATATCTTCCACCACTGCAGGTAATGGAACATGATTACTTCTATATCTCCACAAACAGTCAATGATAATTTATAAACATGCATGTTTTACCAAAGCTGGACTATTACATAGGTTATAAGGTCAACTGTTGTTAGATGAAAGTCTTATCTTTTTCTTCGAGCACAAGTAAATAACCGATTTTACTACAGTGAAAATATGCACAAACATCTAACATAGTATGGCTCCACTAACTTATCATAAACCGCATAATAAAGAAATAAAGACATCATCACAACTCCAGAAACATTCATAATCAAGTACAAAGATAACCGAAGACTATATTTACAGAAGAAGTTAGGCAACACTAAAGATTCTTAAGAATGTATGGAGGGCATAAATTTGGGCACTTGCATAAAACAGTGGGTTATGCCATTAGCAAACCAGCAGAATATGCTAAGACCATATATGCCAGAAAAGGCACGAGAAAAATAACTGTAAGAAAAATATTAATACCTGAAATATTTGACGAAACCATTTATATAGAGCTGAAAATGTACTTGAAGTCATTTCTTACTAAATAGCTTTTTTTCAGAAAGTTGTATGTTACCCGCTCGATCACGATTTCAATGTTACAGTTTGATTTAACGGTTTCAAATGATGTTCGAAAACTGCTAGCTTCAAATAATCGTCGAGTTAGTGCAATCATATCAAACTTATACAATGCTCCAACTGATTATTATGTTATTGTCTAGCTCTGTATTTAAAGACAGGAAATAAATTTCTATATTTATTAGTTTCAGCATATTTTCTTAATAAATTAATCAAATTACAGGATACTGTATTCACAAATATAGTCAAGAAGTCAAGTTGACTAATCCACAACACAAAATGGATACTTATTGTAGAAGGACGTACTTGGTAGTATATTCCAAACATTTTGAAAAAAAATTCAATGTTTCATGAAAATAAAGCATGTACGAGAAATATCTCAAACCAGACCGACCATATTGAAAATATTATCATCATAGAGGTCAAAAACATAACAAAAGCAGGTGATGAAAAGAAGAAAGATACAATTTTTCTCTGGGATTGCCCTTCTATTTCTTACATGATACTCCTTCATCTGTAATATCTGCCATCTTGCACGCATAAGACATTATTTTAACTGTTACCTTGTCCATGATGAGTACCTACATGTCGGAATGTCAAAATTGGAAGGTAACAAAATCAAAATGTAAATGAGTAAAGGAATAAACAATGGCAAGGGATATTACAAGATAGTGCATATGAAATTAAAGTGGAGGTGGTGTCTTTATACAGAAAACAAGGATAAACAGTATTAATATAATCTCCTATTGGTTGTGATGATTCAAACAGGATAATTTCCATTTTGTGCTTGTTCTGGCATGGACAAACTTGGCATGGATACTGCACTTAGCGATAAGCAGGAGACATGAGGCAAAAACTTGTACATCTTAAAAGTAACGCAAAAATAGAGATATTGGGTCTAACAAGTAAGGCGAGCAAATTGCTCTATTAACGCAATCGCAACTAATGGTTTCAGATTCAGAAAACCTTGGGACCCGATAGAATTTGAATGATATCGAAAGATTTAGATTGACCCTGGGTCACAGAAGAAAGACAAGAAAAATAGTTCAATCTAGATCCCTAAAGAGCAAGAACATTAAATTGGTTCAAAATGCCAAATGTTAAAACATTGATATTCGCCTTTTGGAAGGAAAGATAAAACTAAACTGAGAACCCTATCAAATCTGATCAAAGAGTCACTCCATAACACTTGCTCCACAAATAAAATATATTCATTATCTATTATAGGTGTACTAGTCTGGATGAATGATTTTCCAAAATGGTGTTTATATCAGTTTGGTGAACTTGTAAGAACAGATCTCAGATAATTCCCGAAGATACTGGTGACTTCTCTAATATAGACACTTAAGGCATTAAGCACTAAACAGCTCCTTGGCAAAGAAACGGATTTGTTCTGACTTAAACCCATAAACATAAAGACAAGCACTAGCAGTCCTTTTAGCCAAACCCTGCAACCGTTATCAGATTTGAGAAAGTAAGAGATATTCAGCATACAAGTTTCTCCTACCTTCCAACTTGACTTTGAGTCCCCTGTCTTGGCTGATCGAAGCATTTCATACAATAATCCTGTAAATTGACGAAGGAAATATTAACTACATTAAATAACTTAAATAATTCATTAGCCTATAAGGATGCGGCCATGATAAACAGAAGCGGTGCACTAATATGGATGTTCAAAGATTATGGAATCATATAATACGAGCACCACACAGGTCACAATAGAGGCCAGAGTAACACCAGGAATCACAAACTGGTAATACCACGTAGATAACAGCTTATAAATGACTAGACTGTAAATTGTGAAGGTTTCACATTGATTGTTATCATGCTTAGTTACAAGCATCTAGAACTGATGTAAATGGAAGCCTTACTCCAAGTTGAGAAGGTCAATAGTTTTCTTTAACCGTATGCATTAATAAATGATAAAGAATATATAACAGTTTATTTCGCTGTCTAGAAGTTGTATATTTGGGATTTGTTTATAGATCAACAGTTTCTAGTGATCAAGGAGTGCAGTCCCTGAACCCAACTAGAAACACAATACAGAAATCAGATTAAAGTTCCTCGATACTAAAAGAACAAAAAATCATAAATAAGTTTTCAACTATTACTCAGATACTCAGATCTTGCTTTTGCGAGCTTTTCTGTTTGTTTCTTCCATGACAAAGAGTACAGGCAAGTGATCCTTTTGGGACGGTACAAAGATTTACTTCTCTCTATCATACTCCTAAATAGTAAGTTATCTTTGTCCCACATGTTTATACACCCTAGCTTAGCAAAAGTGTGAAAGCAAGTAGGTCTCTATCAAGTGATTTACAAACGATAAAATGCCTCGGAGAAGGTGCACCATTGAACGTGAGAGTTAAACAACAATTAGAGTTGGAGAACATGTCTAAAATAACAAGCCTAATTTAGTGATTTGTCCCTTCACTCTATCATATTTGCAACTCAATCAATATTGACAAATCCAATTCATGCAAGAATTATCAATGTCAGCATGAAATCTGCAGTTACATTCATCTAGATCTTGCTGCCTCCTCTATACGGTTTAAGTTACCCAGATCACTAACGGGCACAGATTGTTTTATTGTATAACAAGAAAGATTAATTCACAAAAATGAGTAGAACAATCTGGAAGTAAATGTCACAAAGAGAAGATAGGAAAAATTAAGATAACGAAGAATCTATATGAGAGAGTGCTTACGAAGAGAAGGACAACAGAAAATGCATACAATATCAAATTTATCAACTTCACTAGAACCAAAAATTATACAAGGTTTCATGCACGTGGAGAAATTCTCCCTCCAAAACAAAGGAGTACTAATTTGAATATAAGATTGGTCCTAGAAAACTAGAAAGACGAAATACCATAAAAATAGCATAAATTTGGAGCTCATAAAGACATTACATTGAAAGATACAATATTCAAACTTATGATTCAAAGATTATATTACACACTTTTTTATTACCAAGAAGTTGGTTTCTTCTACTATAACTTTTGACATTCATTATCACTAGCAGAATTCCTTAGGAACAAGTAATACATCATAACTTTAGCCTATTAATTGGACACGAGAAAGAAATAAAAATTCAATCTAAAAGTAGGTACAAAAATCTAAAATAAGGAGAAACTAATATAAGATGAGGCAGATAAAAAGTGAACGAGAGAATAGAAACAAAAGTTTAAGCCACGCAAGGTTATGAAAAGATTCACAACATGATCTTAATTGTTTTTTTTTCTTATTCTTTTTAATCAACTCCAGCAAAATGGAGGGATTGCACAAAACCGATACACCTCTATGACTAGCACAAATGACGGGACTTTCAAGCCGCAAATAACATAGATTATGAAACACAACAATACTGACCAATCATAACCCACATATATAATGTAAAATAACAGTACTTACTCAAGAGATTCTTTACACAGAATTGATGTTTTCCTTCTGATCATAGAAGGCTGCTTCTTTTTTTTTATTGGTACCTTCGATCTGATATGAAACGTTTTATTTACTTTTTTCTTGGGTTAAACTTGTAATTCAATTTCAATATATATGTTATAAATTTAATAACTACCACCGCCACGTCTGTATTTGAGAAGGTTGTTCTATGTTCTTCAACAATCAAAAGGTAAAAAACTAAACAACTACTAGAAATACTGTTTTTCCAGCTTCATAGAAAATGAAGATCAATATTGATTGCTTATCTTCAAATTGCACATTCAACTGCCAGTTTAATATATTTTTTGAAGGAATTATTAAGACCATCATCCTACCCCTTTGTGGTTGTTACCCTGAACTGGGCGATATATAACAGTATTCTATGCAAAACACCTCATATCAAAACAAGTTCCTTCTGTCAAAGCCCGTTGAATGATTTTCGACAATGTCTAAGATGTGAACTATTTTCTCCACCCCAAGACATCCAACAATTCCAATCTAAAATTATTCTCAGAACCTGTACTTTTCCATCAAGTTATATAAATTTACATGATGCCAATGCTTGGGACACTACCCATAATTATGTTACAGTTTATTTGTTATGTTATGGAGTTCACCCCCCATCCCCAATCCACCCACCCTCCCATCAAATAACATAAATTACAGATACACCAGTAATTCCATGTAAGAAATCTACTGCCAAAGTAAAAAAACAAATAGACGAAGATCACGAATTCCATCATAGCAAATACCGTTAAAAATCGAAAGCTTAAAAACAAAGTCCCCGGAGTTCTTCAGGGAAAGCATATCAATCTAAAGAGCAAACCCAAGGCATTCCAATCACTCCGATCACATGGAAACATATGAGCAAACTCCAAAATTGAACAAACAAACTCTCAACACATACATACTAAAGAGGCGAAATTGACTTACTGTCGCGACTAATTTGGCGGAAAGTCTTGTACTCGCTGCCCCCCTGCGAAGAGGTATCCGAATCCGACATCGACATGGTGTAGCAGAAGCTTCCGCCCTAATTTCTTCCCTCCCTAATCGATCAGTGATCGGTGCGAACGGTGTTGATCGGAAGTCCAGAGTTCTAATTTGTGAATTGTAGAGAGAGAAAGAGAGAGAGAGAGAGAGAGGGAAAAATCTGAAGAGGGAAGGAAAATGGAAGGAGGAAGGGGAGAAAATGGAAATTGAATTCGGGTTTATTGGTGGTGGGCTTGACTGGTCAGGTCATGCCCCGATTGTTGAATTGTGTGAGACTACGCCAAGTCTAAATCCGGTTCGGGCGGGTCAAGTTGTGTTGTGGGTGGCGGTTCCTTTGGTTTGGTGGTTCTTAAGTTTTGAGGTTTCTCTCTCTATCTTCTAGAAAATTATATTTGTGCAGAAACAGAAGAAATGTAAAGTTTCAGCGTTGATGAACCAGATGGATTGTAATTTCAGATTTCAGATTAGTATTTTGTTTGAGAATCGTCAAATCACTATCTTAAATATATATTCCCGTTTTAATTCCTTACATATTTAATTTTCTATTTTGTTTTGGTCGGATGGCAAAAAGGTCCATCCCATTACTTAAATGTACATTGGTCCATAAAAAAAACAGTCTCTCAATTAAACTCATCCCCATGTCTTTAGTCTAAAATACCACTAAAATACCATTTATAATTTAATTCTTATCGATTCCATTCATTATGCTATAACTTCCTTAATATTACATATTGACCCGGATTTAAACAAATATATCACATTAACCCCCAAAATATTTTTTTTTTCAGAAAAATAATTTTTTTTCTGAAATTTTTTTTCCGCCGTTGACTATTTTTTTTTTTTTGAAATTTTTTTTTTCCGGCCGGTCTCCGCCATTGACCTTTTTTTTCGATTTTTTTTTTTTAGAAAAAAATATTTTAATTAATATTACTGTCTTGACTACTAAATTACTGCCTCAAACAGTAATATTATTTTCCCAAACAGTAATATTATTAATATTATTGTCTAAGACAATTAAATTACTGTTGGAGACGGTAATTTAGCAGCCAAGGCAGTAATATTAATTAAAATAATTTTTTTTAAGAAAACAAATTTCAAAAAAAAAAGTCAATTAACAGTTAAATTACTGTCTCCGGCAGTTAAATAACTGATGGGACAGTAATTTAGCAACGAATACAATAATATTAACTAAAAATATTTTTTTTAAGAATAAAAAAGTCAATTAACAGTTAAATTACTGTCTCCGACAGTTAAATAACTGCTGGAGACAGTAATTTAATTAGCAAGGAATACAGTAATATTAATTAAAATATTTTAAAAAAAAAATCAATTAACAGTTAAATTACTGTCTCCGACAATTAAATAACTGTTGGAGACAGTAATTTAGCAGCGAAGACAGTAATATTAATTAAAATATTTTTTAAGAAAAAAAAAGTCAATTAACAGTTAAATTACTATCTCCGACAGTTAAATAACTGCTGGAGACAGTAATTTAGCAGGCAAGACATTAATATTAATAAAAATATGTTTTTTAAGAAAAAAAAAAATTATAAAAAAAAAAAAAAAAAAAAATCAACGTCGGATACCTGACGGTCAACGGCAGTTGACCTACCAAAAAAAAAAAAGGCAACGCCGGAGACCAGCGATCAACGGCGGCGACCGGCGGTTTCCGGTGGTGGCGGGTCAAAATTGAAATTAGGGTTAAAATTGGTTAATTGATGAAACTGGGCTAAATTGGGGTGTAAATCATGAAATTGGAGTTGAATTGGGTTTCAATGAATTGGGGGTAATTTTGATATATATAAAAGGATTTTCATTATTTCCAAATAAGTTTGAATGAGCTGGATTTATTTGAAAGACAAAAAAGTTGGATGTCCCTCTTTTAATTAAGTGCCCTTGTCATGGGCCTATTTGCCATTTGCCCTTTTGTTTTTTGGGAAATTAAGGAACTCAACATTAAATTATATAGTGTATAAGGTAAACGTACATTCTCGTATAATAGCTTGCAAATCATAAGCTCGACCTAGCGACCAACCAGTGTATGTTATATTTACAGTTCATTGCTGTGATTCTTGTGAATAATGGATTACGTTTAGTGAATATCGATAAATTTTGATGAGTGTGTAGTCGATTCCAATTTTTGGTAAACCCGATGGAAAAGAAAAACAAGAAATTATAAAAATAAAAAAAATAAAAAATTACATAATGGATTATGTTAATTAAATGGTGGATTTTTGATAAGTATGTAGTAGATTTCGATTTGTTGAATCTGCTGGAAAAAAAATATATTTAAAAAACCATTTCAAACAAAAAATAAATTAAAAAAGAGTTTAAAAAAAGTTTAAAAAATCAAAATTAAAAACGAAAAAAAAAATTCTTTTTTTGCAAATGAGAGGACTATATCAAATATGAAACATAAATTTGGGTTTATATACATATAAATATTTTATTTATGTATTTCTAAATATAACATGGGCAAGTGAGGTATTTTATCATGGGAAGAGGTTATCCCTAAAATGGGATTAAAAGTTATCCCTAAAATGAGATTATAATTAAGTTGAATATATGTCCCTCTTAAGAAATTGAATGGGGGGTTTTGTCAAATATACCCAATTTTAAATTATAAGATTTAATGTGTATTACTTTATTTAGTAATTTATAAAAACTAATTCTAACAGTAGAGCATTTCATCCAATCTTAAATAGATTCCATCAAAATTGATAAAAGGGTTAATTACACTTTACACCCCTAAATTATATTATATGTAACATTTATTCTCTTAAAGTATAATTTGTGACATTTACCCCTCAAGCACCATTTAATTAGTATTTTAAATTTTAATATCTTAAAATTTTCTCTTTATTGGATGGAATAACTAAAAAGAATAATTAAATTATTTTACTAATATATCTATTAGAAAAACGCAATATTTTAAAATTTAAAAATATTATTTTGCGTTGGGTACATATTTAAGAACATAACATCTAATTGTTGTTGGAACAAATAATTTTTTTAGAAACTAAGAATTAAGTTATTGAAAAAAAATCATAGTAAATCAATTTTATATGATCAAATAATTATTAGATTGTTATGTTATTTATTCTATCAAAGAAATATAAAATTTTAAATATTGATGCATCAACTTTTCAATTGATATTGTTGATAAATTATTTGAATTATTTTCCAATTATTCCATCAAATTGGATATATATTGTTATAAATATACTAAAAAACTCAAGTAAAACAAGAATATGGGAGATCAAATGTAAAGATAATACCAACATTTTCTTCTTATTCTTTCTTGTATATTTAAGTGTCAAGTGTTACTTTGTCTATTACAAAGTAAGCTATTTATACTACATGGAAGATTAAGGTCCTAAGAGTTATAAGAGTGCACTTCAATTAAAGACCATTAATGGTTAGTAACTCTTCATTAATTGGACATCCACTTAATGCATTTTTAATGCATACAACATATATTAAGACTATTATTATGTTTTAAATTTTAAAATACAAAATAATTAATGTGAGGGGCTAAGTGTTACAAATGACTTTAAGATAGTAAATGTTACACAACTTATATTCAAAGGTGCAAAGTGTATTTTAACTTAATAAAATTGTACTCCTAAGTGAAAATAATGAGATCGAATATAGAGGTGAAGGATTAAAATAAAACAATTGGGACAAGAAGGGACTAAATATTAAAACGAGCAACAATTAGAGAATTTTGGCCTTTAAAATAAGGGGGTCGTTACAAATAAGCCCATCAATTGGTACTTATTCATAAAGAGATTTAGACAAAAAACTCCTTTACCAATAAGTCCACACATAGTCCAGATTATTGTGTAATAGAGTAATATTACTATGTTGACCGTTCAACAAATGTAAACATAATATAAAACCAAAAAAATTAATATTACTGTGAGTGACAGTATTATTACTATAACAACAATAATATTACAATAATAGACAGTAATATTATCACGTTACTCCGAATAACTCAAACAAACAAAAAAATCCAAACAAAATAATAATATTGATGTGGTTGACAACAATATTACTATAATAACAGTAATATTATCGTCAACCACAGTAATATTATTGTGTTTACAGTAATATTACAATAATGGACAGTAATATTATTACGTTACTCCGTGAATAACTCAAACAAAACAAAAAACCCAAAAAAATAAAATATTGATGTTGTTGACAATAATATTATTGGGTTTACAGTTATTTTACTGTGAACGACAGTAATATAATTACGTTGACTTGTCAACAAATCAAACAAAAAAAAAAAATAACAAAAAAAAAAAAATATTACGTTAATTTACTGACAACGGCAGGACAATTACATAAATATATTGTCAACGGCAGTACAATTACGTTAATTAACTGTCATTGATAGTATAATTACGTTAATTTACTGTCAGTGACAGCGCAATTATGGTCAACGTTTAGCGGCGGACGTTAAAAAAAAAAACTTACAAAAACACTAAAAAAAATCAACGCCGGAGACCGCCGGTCAACGTTAGAAACCGGCGAAAAAATTCGGAAGAAGAAACAAAAAATCGAAATGTCAACGCCGAAATCCGGCGGCAAATTTTTTTTTTGAAAAAACAGGTTTTTGAAAAAAAAAAAGTCAAATTTTTGGATTTTTGTGGACAAAATTGATTAAATTGGGTTTACAATTAAGAATTTGGTATAAATGGTTGGGGTTAATATTGGCATATACATGAATGTTTCATTTATTTATAATAAATATTAAAAGGATGGGCTTATTGGTGAGAGAGAGATATATCCCCTAAACCTAGAATAATAAAGATGTTTGGTTGGAAACTTATGACAAAACCCCCTATTGCAAAAAAATATTATAACTAACCACCCTATATTATTTTTAATATGTAGAACCACCTCAACTTTCCTATATAATTTATCCTCATATTTGTTATTAGAAAGGACAACCATTTTACTCGGAAGAACGGATATGATTAAAAACCTCTCCCCAAACATTCGCAATTTTGCTATTTTCCTTCGGAATATTTCACGGAAAATATGCACATTATCTTCTCCACTACTACGATCGTCCATGCATGCAACAAAATCTAGTTTGTGAATGAAGAAGAAAACCAAGATGAACATGAAATCAGTGCACAAGAGGATTTTTACAGAAACAAAACCAAAAATAAGAGTTGTCCAAGATCACATAAAACTTTAGATAGTTGATCGAACTTTACACTTTACACTTTACACTGTAAACAGCTTGGACAACTCTTATTTATAGTTTTTTTTTTTTTTTTACTATTAAACTACAGTAATTATAATAGTGTCGGCATAAAAAAAATAGTTAAATTAATTAATAAACCAGTCATATTTTTATATTTT